GGATAAATAGGTGGAGAAGAAGAGAGGTGTGGAGAGGGATTGAGGCGTTATGGAGACATTGTTGGTTCTCCTACGAGTTACTGTCTGAGCTGTTGGTTCTCCTGGAGAAGCTTTGGTCTTCACATCGAGCATTGCTTCCTGGCTCCGGAAGGGAAGACATGTGCTGCCTGGTCTCCAGGATGAACTCCTCAGGCTGCTTCCTGGCACATACCCGACTGTGCTTGTCGTCAGAGGAGCTCGGGGCCTCCGCGTCACTGAGGACAGCTGTGGTTCCTTTCAGGACAGCCCCATTCTTTGTTGTGTGACTTCTCGGCTCCAGTGTAGAACCCTCATCCCACTAGGACAGCTCCTTCATCCTGCTGGCATAGACTTTGGCTTCCACCGTTGATCGTTGGGTCTTCCCGGCACGAATCTGTAAGAGACTGGCGTGAGTCCTTCTTGTGGGCTCTGGACTTCCAGTTGGACTCCTGGAGGCGTTGTTCTGAGCTCTGGGTTTTTATCTGGATTCATTTGGGACATTGCCATGGGGTTTAGACTCTTGACTAAATAATCTATATCGTTGGTGTTGCAGATAGATTTCCTGCATTCTCCTGTGTTAACTTCCGGTAACCATTATAAAAATATTATAAACTCCATGTCCTGATCTGAATTGTTCTGTGTACAACCCCAGACTACAACATCAGTGTTTTACCATGAGCCCTCCAAAACTAACTCTAATGCTCCCACCACTACTACTACCAAGTCTGAGGGTGATCTTTTCCTCTATTTGGAATAGGTTGAATTTGATACAGAATATGGCCATCCAATGGGTCCAAAAGGTCTCATAATGTGTGAGGAGAAATCAAATACAGAAAAGTTGGTTCCAATTAACACCTCTAACCTCCAGACGTCCTATTAAAAACTGCATAGCATATGGCCACCCTCAAACTGGGTACTTGCACTCAATGTTTTCAAGAGCCAAGCAAAGCAGTCACTTCTTAACCTGATCTCCTGCCCTGGGAGATATGTGGTTAATGCTGCTCTGGGGCTTAGGGAAGCAAGCAAGCAGAGGTGAACAAATCCATGCCTTCGAGATCACTCATCTCATCCCTAGATAGGAGATATTACCTGCATCCTCAAGTTGAGCAGAATTTAGGGATTTCTATGGAATATAATGGGGCCCAAGGTAGGCATGATCATTGGGAAAATGTGGATCATTTCCCTCTTCTCTCCCTTCTTTTTCTATTGCTGATTATACTATTATGAAGTGAATTATGATTTAATTCCTTGTTCTGGTAAGGGTGTTACAAACCATTGGTTGCAATGAAGTCATAAAAAATATTTATAAAAAAAGAAAACTAGTTAGATAATGCTACAGTTGATGACAAAACTGTCTAGCAAAGGGACAGGCATGGAAAAAGCATTGCCTATATATCAAAGAGAATGTGATTAACTTGAACTATTTCTATATACAACTTTTTTTTGGTCTTTTTTAAAACGAGGTCTCACTATGCAGTTCAGGCTGGCCTTGAGCTCACTTTGTAGCCCAGGCTGGTCTCGAACTCGCCAGGATTCTCCCACCTCAGCCTCCCAAGTGCTGGGATTCCGCCGTGAGCCACCACGCCCAGCTTTCTATATATAATTGACACGGGATGTGCATTTACAGCCATGCATGTAGAAAGCAGTGCATTAAGGAAGAAAAGACAGTTCCAGTCACACACTTCCATATTATTATTTTTTCCCTAAATCTTAAAGAGTCATCAAATCAGGGCCAGGTTACCACAAAGTGCTTAATGACCCATGAGAAATGAATCATGTTTTCATTCCAAGGCATAATATACACATTACATCACTGTTAGATGCAAGCAACTCTTTGGTTGAGGGCTCCAAAGAGATTAAGGTCAAAAGTTGCCCCGGAGGCCGAATTCCCTAGTGAATGATTGCTACACCACTCCGTGTTCTCTTTGCTTCTGAATGCCTTCTTCTCCTAGCAACAACTAGCCAAGCTTCCCAGGCTGGTATTGTGTCTGCATAGGCTTATTCTTTTTGAAGCAGAGCTGGAGAAATATTAAGTTGAGAATCTGTTATTACAGGTTAAATGGTGTTACACCCAACTTGTGGTGAGGGGTCTAGTTTCTTTTCATTATATTCCAATTTTGTTGTAATGACTATTCCTGAAATAAATGTGCAATCGACAGGGGCTTAGAGATAACAGGGATGCTTAAGTGATTTTTATAGTAGCAGTATTTGTTGTAACAGAATTTGACCTGTATTCTGGTTATTAGTTTTATTCATCACACTGAAAACGTGGCACTTCTATTGTTCATGTCATTACATGCAAAGCAGTGTAGCATGAAAGTCACTTATGAAGGTGATGGTGGTAGGGACTTAAACACAAGAGGCTCACAGAATAAAACCTCCACTAGGAGATGTATATTTTGTTCAGCAAAACATAGTAGATTGTCAAAGGTTTATTCCTTTTAATTCTTGGGTTTTTTTCCAATCATTTGTGATACAAGTATTTCTTAAAAGTTCTGTTTTTACCATTTGCAATATAAACTTTTTTAAAATGTTAGCTAGAGAAATCATTGCCTCTCTGAGCACAATTTGAGCTTTTATGTGTGATGCACAGAGTCATTATTTAAACATGAAGTATTGTCCTGATACAGGAGGCTATTTTGGCAGTAGCACATACTCCAACAGAACTTTCAGAGCTGTTTATTGTGTTCTGTCTTGTCACTTTTTTCTTCTTGAGCTAAATTTCTCTGGAAGTCTATTTCCTTTGCTTTACTATGGGTTTGGAAACTAGGTAACAATTTAGAATTGTAAGAATAAGTAAGTTTTGAGCAGGCTCATCATGGCCAGATATAAGGCTTTTCTCTTATGTGTTTGCTTTAACTGGTTACAAGGCTTGGCACTTGGTCCCTAGTTTCCAGTCATTTTTGAATGGGTTGAACTTTTACTCAGAATTCTCCAGTTAATTCTCAGCTCCTCATTTCAAACTACTTCGTTGAGTTTTAGGTTCAGGAAATATGGATGGGGAGGCTGATGGATGAGCCCTAGGTATGAATTGTTCCTGAATTCTGTGGAATGCTGTGGCCATGATGGCTAAACTCACTAAATGAACTTTCAGGTTTTTGTCTTTTGCCAAGAATATGACACCGGCCTAATGAAAAGTTGTTGGGAGATACCTTCAAGATGTTTAAATTATATAGTCATGTGTTAGAGCTGGCTTTTTGAGAGTCTAAGATGATAGCAAAAGAAGCTTTAGATTTGGTGATTTCATTTTTTACAGCCTTAGAATGAAGATAAAGCAAGCCTATTATTTCATCCCTTCTCAAAGTGCAGTTTCAGACTGTAAGACTGCTATCCTCAGTTTCCCTCTCAGTGTATAACACACTTTCCCTCTCAGAGTATATCTGAGTATATATATGTGCAAAGCAGAGTTACCAAAGGGCCAATTTGTTTTCCCCACATGCAGTGAGGAAGGGACAGGGAAAATAATATTATCAATACGTGGTACAATCAGTGTAGCCAGTGGAGAAAAGATTAGGAGCAGGTTTTATAGAGTCTACTACACCTGGGTTTAAATCCTTGCTTTCCACTGATCATAGTAGCTAATTTTCTAAATATTCCTGAATAATAAAATTGTAGTACTAGTGATGTGAGATTAAGAAAGATAATGTGAAAAGCAACTAAGACAGCATTTGGCCCAGACTAAGAGCCAATAAATGGTAGCTATCAACAATGATTGTTAAGCTGGAAATTATAATATTTAATGAGTACAGACACTCAGTGTGGCTAATGACATTCAACAGTGTTTCTGTTTTCTCTGCTGTGACATCTTCTTTTAGTAAGACTGGCAGCCTGACTTTCTGTTAGGTGTATCTCACTCTGGTGTCTTGGTATGGCTAGGAGATATTCTAGACAAAGAGCAATTTCACTCTTCTATGTGTGGAAAGGAAATGAGGCCAAGTTTAAGTTGTGCTAAGAAAAGATCAGTTAAAAAAGGTTAATTTTATAAGGAAAAGACAATGAAACAAGGGCTGGGGCAATAGGATGTGGCACGGAGGACTGGCACCAGGAAGTAGGGAAGAAAACCTCTAAATACATTGTGGTTTGTTAAAACTCTGGTCTCCCAGATGCTACTGTGCTTGGCAGTGCCATTGTTCTCAGCACCTAGGAGGAAGTAGGACCTAATGACTGCTGCAGGAGACAGTCAGTTGTGCAGAAGCTGTCCTGAGCTTCACCAGCATGATTTATAGGGTGACCTTTGAGTGACTAATCTCCCTATCTTGGGGAAATTCTCCCAGGTTCTCACTGTCCTCATCTAAAAGGGAATTTACAGTAGGGCTTACTAACTGCATCCCTTCCACACAAAATGGGTGGTGGCTTTTAAAAACTGAATTTTCCTGTGCTTGGGTAGGGCTTGCATTTTCTAATTTATCCAGTCTTACTATGTCCAGCTTTTACACTATAAAACTGGCAACTGCAATGCCTCTGTCTCCTAGTTTCAGTGCAACTTCTGGTCTTAATATTGCAAAGATTGAAATCACTTCATTTATAATTAAATTCTATCTCCCAATTATATGGAAATACAACTTTTATTCAGAAAGATGATTTTGCTGGTGCAACTTTTGTTGTTTTGATAGAAAATTTGGTAAAATTTAAAGTTGACTGACTTTATCCTAGTTACTCTAAGTTGTAATGCTTTAAATATTATTTTAAAATGTCACTCAAGACCAAGTATCCTTTAGGTTTACAATCTACTTTGCTCATAAAACTTTTACCTAGGCATGGGTCATTTTCTTTGGAGGAGAAAACCTGTCTGTAAATAATAACGATCTTAATCTGCCCTTCTGCAGTTTCCCACAGGGGTCCTATAGCACTCTCAAGAAGTCAGGAGTAAATTAGGCTCCCACATCTAATAACCCAAACACCACACCACCACAGTAAGTATGCAGATCATCACGAATATTTACATCTAGCAGGGTCCTTTGTGCACAACTCCAACAGACAAATTGTATTTCCAGTAATGGTTTATTGATTTCCAAATGCACAGGGGTGCCAAATCCAAACATCCTGGGATAGCAGTAAATTTCTCTTACAAAATAATTTACAGTATGAAAATGATATACTGAAACATTAACTCCAAGTGTAATTCCCTTGATAGAGAATGAGTGTTCCCTTACATAAAGGGTAAAGATGACTAGGGGAATGGGGCTACGCACAGGCAAACATGGAGAGGACAATGGCTCACGGGTTCTACCTGCTAGTGCAGCGTGGCCTGTCACTGTAAAAAGGCTGCTCAGAATAAAGCTGCTGTGCCCTTGAGGCCCTGTGCAGCCCAACATGGGCTTTGTGGTTTTGCCCAAGTACTCACGTGTGCTCCTTCACTTTCATTTTCCTGCTTTGGCCCTTGTTCTGTTGTTTCTGGTTTGCTCTCCATTCTGGATGACACTGTCTTACCAGACAGGTCCAGTGTCCTAGGAAAGGATGGGTCTTAACGGCTCCTGGAAAAAACTGGGGATGGGGGCTTCAGAAACATTGCTGGATCAAAGCCATATTGTGAGATCTGGAGTCTCCCCTAAAGGTTTTCTTTTTCTCTTAGGGCTGAGCTGGATTTGATCCATAATGCATTTGTTTTTTAAACAGAAAAATCTGGATGTGTTCAGTACACAGTAAACACGCAACTGATTTTCTTATTGAGAAACATACTGAAGAGCTATTATGTGACAGTGGAATTTTAAGAATCGGAGGAGGGTATTTTCCAGGTGAGGGGTGAGGACTTCCTAAACTCTGCCACTACAAGGTTATGAATTATACAGTTGTGCCCTCAGGCCCAACCACAGTGACCAAAATGACCTAGGTCACCAAAATGGCTGGGTATGTAAGTTTCTCATGTCATTAGCCATCTTGGAAAAGGACTGGAGTGCAATTTCCTTCAAGGCTGTTACCTTGGTTCAGTGCTTTAGGAGCTGACAAGCTCTGCCAGGGAGTAACTCTTCAAGCACACAGGGTCCAATTATCTGGTGGCACTTGTAATCAGGCTGGAAGAATTCTTTGCGGTGATATGCAAGATAATGAGGGGCTGCTCAGAGCTTCTCTTATTTCTTAAACAGTGTGTATACAGAAAAATACATCGTATTTATCATTTACATCTAGGTACAAAGATATATCCCAGGTATCAACAGGAGAGAAACACATTTAATGGATTTTGAGTTGGCACATCTTTCAGAATCCAGAACTGGTGGCTGTGTTTACTAAAATATGAAAATTTCCTTTCTGTGGCAAGAAGCAGCAGATATTTAAAAATAAAGTTAGAGAGCTGAATGCCTTTCACTTTTACTATTTTTGAAGTTCTCACTTTTGAAGGCCAAGAAACACCTTATGTATGGGGGATGGCACCAAGAAAGAAAGGTTTCTCCAACTCCTAGGGCAGACTGATGTTCAAAAATGGATGGTCTGACTGCAGTGGGGGAAACTTAAGACTTGTGTTTCTGGTATACCATCATCTGAGCAGAGGGTTTTCCACATAGAAGGGAGATCTGGTTTCAAACTGCCTCCAATATTTTCTCATATTCAACTCTAGACAAGTGACTCTTCCTCTCTGCATCTGTTTTTATCACTTAACAAATGGAAACATAAGGCGTGGCGCACAGCTGATCCTCAATAAAAGTTATTTCTCTTTCTGAGCTATCAGAGCTAAGACTTTAAGTACTTCTTGGGATTGTCCTGGATTTAATAATATCAAATCAAAGGACACACCCCTTTCACCATATAAAGTCTAACACTTGGAAGGGAGCCAGGAATCTGCTGAGTACCAGATTCATTCGGGATACATCCATTATCTGCATGCCTTGATGACTTCCCCCAGGGTGTGATGGTGAACCTTTTAGAGCTTTCAACGATAAGAAACAGCTGGCTGTGGCACGCTTGCCGTAGGTTCACTACCACTGTTCTAGGGATTTCTACAAACCCTGCTGCCTATGGTCAGTCAAGGACACAATTCTGAGCACTCCTATCTTTTACTGACCTAGCAGGAGGAAAGCTTCATCACACTGGGGCTTAAGGCCAAGCAGTGAGTTTCAGCTTTGCGGGGAAGCTGGTGCCACTGGAGGAAGTGTCTTGGTTCTTACATTGATGAATAAATGCTGCCAGCAAGAACCGAGGAGCCTGGGCAGAAGCTGCTGTGCTGTGCTTAATGCTTTCCTGGTTAAAGTTTTATCAGGTGCTCAAGATAGCAGGAGCCTATAAAAGCAAACCTAGGTAGAAAGTGCTTTCTTTGAGGATTACAATCATGATAGTTCACTGAGACAGGACAGCACATATTTTTATATCTGTTTATATCTGCTGCATAAATGCTTAGATCTTTCAAATACTGACTTAAAGTAAAAATGTGTGATCAGATATGGAAAGCCAATGATATGTCCACTGCTAATACAAAGTTACCATTTGAAGATCAAACAGTGATTACTGGGCAAAGAAATACAAAAGTCATTGTAGTCTTCTGATATTTTAAATTCTTTGAAGAATGGCTGTTGGTCCTTCATTTAGAGTAGTTCTGCTGAGTATAGATAGAGATTTTAACTTGTGGTATACTAAATTGTCCAGTTTTGCAGATAGGTAGGTAAAGCACCAAAAGTGTCTTAGCCACTTGTTGGACATCAGTTTGAGAAAGAAACATTTCTTCAACACCTCAAACTCCTCTCAATCCCAATATTCCTTCTCTTGTAGTGAACAAGGGTAATCTGAACCCATAAACATATATGCTCAATAGCTTCCTGGCCTCAAAGGAATAAGTCATTTCATAGCATGCACAGAGTTGAACAATGATATAATAAATAGGATTCCTACAGTAAGGAAGTGTGGTTTCTGCTGCAAAACTATCCTGTATATACATATTAACAGCTGGTCCTGAAATTCTGTGATAAGTACACAGATACAGGCAGGCGAGTGGGGGAGGGGGGCAGGAAAAGAGGAATTTCCTCCAAACAGGCTCCTTGGTTCTGTCTCAGAAGAGTTGGAAGTCTAGGCCCTTGGTTAGCAGTAATCCCAAGCCTTCTTGGATGTGGCAGATTGTACTTCTCAGAAACACAACTAAACAGGAAAGAGGAAATGTATAGCTTATCTGCAAATAAGAAATACCTTACAAGACTTCCGATTTAGTTCAACAGTTGATGTGTATGAATATGATATTCTGTAATATAGTTAGTTTTGCTTTACATAAAAAGGTTGGCCCCTAATTTTAAACAATTTGTTAAGAAAACTGATTTTTAGCAAATTGTATGCTTTTGAATTTGGAATTTTGCATACCCCCTAGCACATTAATGCCTCCTTAAGGGTAATAGGTTGGTTGTAAGGAACTGTGGTTTGGGAGTGAAGAAAGGCCTGGAAACCAAGCTCCAGGGATGTATCTGCTCATGCTACTTAAGCGGAGAGCTACAGTGTGGGAGATAATTTGAAGACCTATGAGTGAGGAATGCCAAGGAAAGGAGGATTTCAGCTGGAGTGAGAGGAGCTATCTTCTGGGAAACGAAGCTGAATTCATCAAGCCATAGAGTGGCAAGAATTCTCCCACACTGAATATAAGCTGTATAAGGCTAACCTGGGAGTGAGACTGGCAAAATCTACAGTAAAAATTTTCATTTGGCAATGTACATTCCAGTATTTCATGTTATAACAAGCCCATAAAACCTGAACAGTTCATCCAAATAATTAAAGTTTTGTCAGATCCTTTCTACTATTTAGAAGCTCGGGTAATTTGAATCCAGAAATATAGATTTCAGATTCTTTGGTCCACTTCGTCTTTCTTTTTCCCCTAAGGTCATTTCCTTTCCACCTCGTCAATCATCTTTTTCATTTCCACAGCACTGAATTATGGATCTGAAGTCCTGGATAACTTCAAATACTAAAAATATCTATCATTTTACCTTTTAACTCTTTCTCCAACCCCCTATTCAGGTCACTAATCCTGCTTCATGGTAACTGTTTTCACAAAGATAGAAATGAACTATGAGAGACTGTCTACACGAGACAGTTCAGCCCTAATTGGCCCTCATTTGTTTCATGCTTCAGTATGAACAAGGTAGAGTTTTTGTTTATAGGCAGGCAAAAACTCTGACTTCTCTTCCAAATATTTAATTCTTCCTGATGAAGTGATATTATTGACTTCTGTAATATTACTGGGACTGACTTTCCTGAGTAAGTTCAAAGCAGCCATAGAGGAGGTATGCAATGGACCCTTCTTAATTTCCCAGTTGATCAAAGATGCTCTTTAACCTACCACAACAAGAACATGAGACACACACACTCAATAAGCATATGACTGGCTGTCTCTTGGAGAGCTATGTGCCTGCTGTGGATCTGGGGACATATCTGAGGAAGGACATTGGTTGCTGGGCAGCTTTCACAATATCAGATGCCATGACACACACGCTGTTACGGACACACAGGGGGCGGGGTGGTTTTCCACGGGGGATGCTCAGCCTTCATGTGTCCTCTTCTTCACTGGTACCACTACAAAGGAAAAGGAGAAGCAGGTGAGTTCAGACATCATGGGAAGGGAGGCAGTGTAGTCTAGGGGTGGATGGCATAGGCTTTGTTGACAGACATACCCAGATTCAGGTCCTAATTACTGCAGCTGAGCAGTGTGGACAAGTGAGTTATCTCACTACAGAGAAAATGGTAACAAAACTTTCTTGGGTTTACTGGAGAATTAATTAAGAGGATATCTGTAAAATGCACAGTGCTATACAGTAAATGAGTAACTATTTGGAGGAACAGGTGACAAGATAAATTTTTTACTTAATTAACAAATTACTGGTGAAAAGCATGAGTTCAGTTTCCTCTAAGCCCTAAGCTATCCATTGTTAGGAGAGAAGTGATGAGAAGCCATCAGTGGCATTTCATATCGGAATAAAAGCCAGGATTCCAACTCATTTAAATATAGGTCAGTTCCTATGTTTAAATGTCATCTCTTCAGAGAAAGCTCTCTGCCTAAATAGGACTGCCTGGTTGTGCTCTATCTTCTTTCATAGCCCTTATCACATTCTCTACCTTGTTTACCCTCCCTCTACCCAAACTAGAGTAGATAAGAGCAACATTATTACCTCTACTGTATTATTATTAACAATTACTATATATCTAGCAGTAGTACTATGCAGTGCATACAGAATTACTCAACAAATGGTTGCCTTTAAAAGGGAAGTGAAATTACATCAGAAAGGAGGGAGGGAGGAAAAGATAAGAGTTGAAAAGCATGGCCAGTCATTACTGCACTAACCAGAGTATTCCAGATGCCATTGATGTTTTGATGGACAAAAAATGAGTTGCGGAATCCCAGAAGCATGGCTAGGACCTCAGCTGCTCACAATTAGTGTCTGGTCTGGGCACTAAGAGTGGACATTTTCCATACAGTGATAGGGGCAAACAGAAGGCAAGGCCAGAGAAGAAAAGCAGCAGAGATGAGCACACTTAGAAGGGCAAATGTAGCAAATTTGCCTAGAATGGCTTCATCTACTTCGATAGAGCGCACTGTCTAAAATATTAACCACAGACACCTTGATCTAGTGTAAACTGAGAGCCAGGAGCTCACAGTTTTTCACTTATTCTTCTCATTACTTTTCATATCAATTCCAGGATGTTGGAACTACAATTATCCCCATGTCCCGGTGAAGAAAGTGAAGTTCTGAGACATGAAAAATCCTAGAGTCACACAGTGAAGGTCTGTGTCCTTAAAACTCAAGGTTTAGTACTGGCTGGATAAAGTCTAAATAAGTCAAGCTGGTACAGAAAGAAAAGGTCGGTGGTACATCAGCTCCCAGCAATGACCTAGAAATTTCTAATCTCACAAAGAATTATCTATGTCTATATAAAACCTGTGCTATTTCACATCTATCTGGGAAAGCCCTTAAGGAAGATACCCTAGACAACAGACTTTCCATTCAGTGAAAATATTTAAGACACATGGCCTACAAATTAAGGTAAATGTAACTCTAGAAACAAAAGAAACAAACTCAGTAAACGTCACCATCCAAAACTCTGCACTAGTTCCACCCTTTTCCTGCTGGCTTTCCAGTCATGAGATAGATGGTGCATGTAGGAAGGGCTGGCCAGAGGACTGTCATTAGTGCATTTTTTTGGTGGCATCTGTTCTAACAGGGACAAAGAATCTTTTATGAAAGCTTCCCCACAGAATCAAGGCAGTATTGGAATCAGCACTATATTCACCCTTTGGTGCTATCCAAAGCAAGCTCTTATTGTTCGCTGGGCAGTTTCACTTTGACTATGAGAAGGCCAGTATGGTGACTGTGCCCTTTCTCTATGCTGCAGTTCACTCTTTAACATTCTTAACTTTGGATACATATTTTAAAGGGTTCATGAGCCTACTGAAATTATAGTTTGGTCTGTATGTTCTTTTGTCTGAGAAAGGCCATAATTTTCATCATCGTCTCAAAGAGGTCAACAATTCTTACCCCCCAACTGAGAGTAACAAATTATAAATAAATTCTTTCTCAGTTGCTAAGTTATTTTACTATGAGTCTTGGACACTGGCTTGAAGAAAAGGCCAGAAGTCTTGATGGATAAAATGTTTTCTCTGTACCCTAAGAGACATGTTTATTGGGCCTGAGAGACAGTTTCTCTCACAGTTTAAAACATGAGCTCTTGGGACCCTGGGATATCATTTATTAATCTCTTCAACTGTTAAAATATTTACTGTAGGGGCTGGGGATTTAGCTTAGCAGCATAAGCACCTGCCTTGCAAGCAGGTGGTCATGAGTTCGATCCCAGGTACCGATTAAAAAAAAAAAATTACTGTCTTACTATTTGTTAGACATCACACTTGTCACACAAAGAGTAAGATGCACACAGTAGTTGCCTTCATGGACCTTATATCGTTGTAGGACAGAACAGGGACCACAATGGAGGAAAAGAAAACATTTTTTCCAGCACTTTCAAAGATAGCATCTTTTTTTTTTTTTTTTGTCTTTTTCCTTTTTATCGGTACCGGGGATCGAACTCACGACTGCCTGCTTGCAAGGCAGGCGCTTATGCCGCTGAGCTAAATCCCCAGTCCCAGCATCTTATTTTTTCCATAACAGATAAACCACTTTTCCTCAATAATAAAGGAAAAGGATACTAACTGAATCTGTATGTGTTGATTGTTCCTGGAGGGTTACCCAGCAATACTACCTGTGTGAGGCATCATTCTCTCTCTTTCATCTGACATACAAGCTCGCCTATATGCCTAAGATTTTATCTGAAATTGCCCATAATAGCCTTCACTTTCCCCAAATAAAGTAGCACAGCTTTCCTCCTCAGTGCTCATCCTCTTCTTCTACCAGACACATTTATATTTACAACTAGGGTGGGCTTCAGAGGTTATTTTCTTTTAGTGTCTGTTTACATATTTGTTTTGTTGTTTTTTTTTTTACATATTTGTTTTTAATTAGGGTGTTAGGCAGACAGCCTATTCCACAGAAGCACATATGGGAGAGCATCATATAGTTTCGAGTCACCAAAATGAACTCGGTTCAAATCCTTAGGTGAATTACTAACCGTGGAATCTGTTTCCTCATGGTAAAACTCTCCAGTGTTATGAAAGCTGTATGCATTTTGCATAATACAAAGAATTTATAAAATGTTGATCCCCTTCCTTCTTATTCTAAATCAAAACATGTCACCTCCTAACTTTCCTTAGTTCTTGTTCTGGCATCTGAAACATCACATTCCAGAACAAGCATGCTCCTATTCCCAAATTTCCTTCAAATATGTGGGAAGAAAAAGTAGCCTGCTTCGCTTGCTGGGAGATGATTTTTTTTCTTAAAGTCAAATAGTGAAATACAGGTATTAGACTGAGTTCTGTGGCTCTGACCCTTCTACATGGCAGGTAGGGCTCCAGAAAATCCATCCTTTGCCAAAGGCTAATGGGGGCAAATACCTAGCAAAGCTTTGTTAACTGGTCTTGGTTTAGTTACTGATTGATCTAGTTTGAGGGTACTGTTATATATAAAAGTGGTGGTCTTAAAACTGAAGAATATATACCCTGTGACATATAATAAAATTTCAGGAAGTATATGAGCATAAGCGGTTTTAAGGAAATATATCTACAGATCTTTAATGTCTATGTGCAGTATACTCATTCTTAAAACTGATCTTCCTAAGAGCAAGCCTTTAGTCTATAGGTTCTTGTAAGGTACTTGCATGTTCATAATCACCTGAGATTCTCTTCAGAAAAAAACGCTTACCTCTAATCTTCCTGAATCTTACATACAACAATTTTAGAATGTCTCACTTCTAAGAGTCCTGTGATAGCAGGGTGAGATAGTAAAGGAGGCAATTCCTTATTTGAACCGGGCTGTGAGCTCTTGACAAGGCTGTATATTTCATCTACCTATCCACTAATCGAAGAACTTAAATTCAGAGGTGAGATAGCTGTCATGAGATGGTGTACTAGTATGTTTATTTGAACTGAAAAAAGAGGAAGTCAGGCTTAATGTGACAAAACACAGGTCTGACTTGGCTGGATGGGTTGGTCATAAGAAATAGCTTTGCCAACTAGCTGATGTAGTGAATTGTGCCTATGAACCCATGGTGCCAAAGTTCTGACAAAAGTATATATAAAAGCTCATATATTAACTATATAATATGTCAGCAATCATAGTCTCTTCAACCACTTATACTTGATATATTTTCAGGAAATGACTTAAAAATGTGCAAGAAGGCACATACATCTTTCTAAATTCTTTTAGGGGTCATAAAACCAAAATGTTTACATAAAGGAATTGGAGTGCTTAAATTCTGACTGGGAGGGTGGCATGAAACTGAACACCTCCCTATTTGGGTAGAGGTGTTAGGGTAACAGAATGGGATTAAGGTGTGCAGAATGCTGTGTCCCTGCCTGATTAGGAGTCCTTTGTGTCTTGCTGTGATACCTGCAGCAAAAGTTGTAAGAGGCATGCTACAAACCCCAGTCATGGTCACTAACCAGTTACTGATAAAGTGATTATGATGGAGAAGTGTCACTCCCTGACCATTTCTTACTTAGTATGCATTGTAGTTTATTATTTTTTTTTATGTCTTTTTCGTTTTTATCGCTACCAGGGATCAAACTCACGACTGCCTGCTTGCAAGGCAGGCACTTATTCTGCTGAGCTATGCATTGTAGTTTAAATCTAGAATGCTCTCCCACAAAGTTTCATGTTTTCAGAGATGGGGCTTTTGGAAGATGATTGGATCATGCGGTGCTACGCTCATCAGAGGCTTAATCCACTGATGAGTTCATAGTTCTATACACTATGTTAGAGGTTGCAGTCTAGTTGAAAGAGGTCAGTTGGTGGGGAGTGACCTGTATCCCCCTTCTCTGGCTCCTGCCTTTTCTCTCTGCTTCCTGGCCACAATGATATAACCTTTCCCTCCATCACAGTCTTGTGCCATCCCATTTCTGCCTTGAAGCTAGTTGACTTTGGACTAACACCATTACCCAAAATAAACCTTTCCTACTCTAAACTGTGCAT